CCATGGCAACTTGACACACTGTCCACTGGGTGTTATGGTGATAACTCCCTGGAGCAGTAGCCATCCGTCTTCCAGCTAGCCAGAGAGGGCCATGGCCGCTACAGCCAGGCACCAGAAAGGGAAGGGGCAGGGACTCGTGGGCACAGGTGCCAGGGCCCAGGAGTGGGGAGATACGGGCTCCACTGACACCTGAGCAGCCTCCACCTGCTACTGCCAAAGGGCCTGGGACTTGTGCACTCACAGCCTTACACTTGTACACATGCACTTGCACACTCTGTTACACTTGTGCATTTGCACATCACACACGGGCATTCATGCACTGTCATGCAATCACACTCTTGTGTGCACCCAGAAATGACCATGCACTCTCTCATACACATGCACCCCTTACACATGCGCTTGTGCATTTACATGTGCATTGCTGCTCTTGTGCACACACGCACCTACAAAAACACCTGCATGCAGACCTGCCTGATAAGGTGCTTGCTGAAGGCTCTATGAAGATTAGATTAAGTGGTTTTTTTGTATCTGTTTAAATATTAAACTATATGTTGTTGCTAAAAGCCTAATTAAAGTCTAAGATGTAGTTGGGCCTTGTATAAAGTAAGGCCTAGTAAATTTAACAAAACCTTAAAGTAGTAAAGCCCTGTAGCGTAGTAAAAATTACCTTATCAAAAAAATGCAAGGCTTGTACTGCTATTGGTCAGTCTAAGGACAGTTAAAGTAAAAAGAATCTAAGTAGTTGTACGTTATCAGAACTATTCAAAGCTTTAAATTAGCTGAAATATCTGGAAACCATTTAGAAGGAAGATACAGCTCTGTAAAAAGGATTAGTTAGCTGTTGCCTGGGTCAGTGGGCCCGTGGACCTCGAGGAGCCCAAGGACTGCATTCCAGGGTCCTTCCCGGTACCCTTCACACAGCGCTGTTCGGAGATGCCTGACTTCGCTGAACTTTGTGGAAAGAGAAGCTTGCTGCGTATCAGGCATCAGAGGGGACTGCTGATAAGTTGCCGACACGAATTGCTTTTCTGTCATTGTTTGTCTTGTTACTACGCGTGGTTGTGTTTTTGTTAAGTCAATAAACCTTTCTTACCTTTCTACCCCCGACCATACTCTCAATCCCAAACCCTCCGCAGGCGGCTGGGACATAAATTGGCGTCACGAACAGGATTGAGAGGCTCTGGTCCGGAGAGAAAGCTCGAAATGACCAGAGTTGCATGGGCCCTTTTACTGGCTTTGCTTAAGGAGGTGACGGGGATGAAGAATCTGGGGGGGATAAGGATAGGTTGAGACCTGCCTGGAGTGACCCGGGAACTGTACCCGATCATTGGGCTAGGTTTGCTACTGCTGCCTGGGGTTAGCCCAAGAAGGGGTGCCTGTCGTGGCTGCCGTTAGGGGCCGAAGCGAATGCCCAGCTATGGGAAGAGGTCACCCGGCTGAGTAAGGAGTTAAAAGATGTGAGAAATTCCAACAGTGTGGTGTGCGAGGCTGTGCGAGCTACACAAAGCTGCTTGGAAACATTAAAACGGAAAACAAAAAAATTATGATCCCGCGCGTGGCCGCTCCTCTCCAGAACAAAGTGCAGTTAGCGCAGGCTGTGGAGCAATCCTCCCAAAAGTGCTTGTATAGAGATAAACCAGAAGTTAAGCTCTGGAAAAATCAAAAGGATAAGATTGATGGAGAGGAGGAGCTTTATGACGAGCCTGGCGCTGAAACGCCCCCATATGTTCCTGCCCAGAGGGAGGAACCTAGCCAGGCCTTCCCCGCCCCAAGGGAGAAACTCAGCCAAGTTTTTCCTATGGTGATAACTCATTCAAAGCCGCAAGGAGAGAATCCCCGAGCAGAGCTGCATTGCTTTACCTGTGCAAGATTAAAAACATTCAAAAGCAGCAGTAGTCCAAGCCAGGAGAGCCATAATAAACTGTCTAGTTCAAATGTATAGTGAAGGGGCATTTGCAATTTCAGTGAATAGAGCCGAAGCTGCAAAAATAGTTCTGCGCCCTGAGCTCCAGGTAAATCAGTTTGCAGGTGGTGATAAAAATGTTACTTTGTTTTCTGCTGCGCTCCAAGCCACTGCAGCCACTTATAGTAATATCATTCGTGCAGCGGTTTAGACTCACATGCCAAATGCAGAAGTTGTGACAGCACTGCTGTGGAGCAGGTTTTGCCGGCAACCACAAACAGAGTGCACCTCGGCCTTGTTGGCCTTGGAGCCAGAAGCGGTAAATCACCCGGTAAGAGATGCGATCCAGCAATTAGTGCAGCTTCTACCCATTTTGCAGAAGCCAAGGCTTACCAAGCCGATGAAAACTGCCAAGGCCATGGCAGTGGCCTCAGTGAAAGATAAACCCCCTGACCCCCTTGAATTGTGGAAAAAGCTGGGAAAGGCCAGCCCAAGAGTCTGCAAGCAAAGATGTGGAAAGATTTGTTAGCTGCCTGTTTCAATAAAGTGCAAATCAATAGACTGCCCATCAATGTCTTGCAAGGGCTGAGGGCTAAACTTTGTACCAAAAGGGCAAGACCAAACGCAGAGCCTTCCTTCTGCACCACCAACAGTGTCACCGGAGAGATTCTCTGCCCTGAGAGCAAAACTGTCAACATTTTCCCGGGCACACGTGGGGCTGCCAGCCTTTATCCGACCTGATCACGTGGCCTAGGGAGTCCGGTCGGCCCAACCCCCAAAGAAAAGAGCCACAACGGGGGCAGTAGTGGGCCGGGGACCGGTATCTAAAGTTAATACTGGCCTCTTAATTCGAATACCTGTACAGATTCAACTAAGTAAAAGTAAAAAGGCAATTGATAGACTATTAGACACAAGTGCCCAGATTTGCAATTTAGATTCCATGGATTGGAAGGTGGAGAAAGGAAACCCCTTATCAAGTAATTGGGGTCGGAGGCACCAGACGACCAGGACACCTAGTCCGAGCAACCTTCGCGTTACCTAATGGCTCTAAGGTAACAGCGGCCGCAGTAATACTTAAAGGGGGACCAAGCTTACTGGGAATTAATGTACTAAGAGGACAGCGGTTTGCCCTTAAACAAGAGAAATGGCAGGTTGGGTGCGCACACCGAGCACAAGAAAAAAGGAAAAAACCAGCCGTAACTCGATGTAGCACGATCCCACTAACCCTGCCTCCTGTGAAAGGAGTACACAGACCCCAGTATCGAACTCTCCCCGAGGCCACACAACCTATCCAGTGTATTATAAGCCAGCAGTTAAAAGATGAAACTACTATTCGAACCCACTCTCTGTATAACAATCCAGTGTGGCCAGTGCACAGGACAAATGGAGGGTGGTGGTTGACTATTAACTTTCGAGCTTCGAATGCTAATGCTGACCCCTTGATGGCTGCTGTCCTATCACTACCATCCTTAACAAAAAGCATCCAAAGTTATAAGCCTACATGAATAGAATCCATTAGTATCAAAGACATGTTGCGACGCTACGTGTTTGTCACTGTAGAAGTTGCCACAGAAATAATGTTTGCCCGCGCCTCAGCGAGAGCTACAGCCCAGGACACTTGTGCAGCACTGGAAACTCTGCTAGCTGGGTATCCGCCACTCATAGAACAACAGAGCGATAACGGCCCTCACTTCTACAATCATCTTGTGTATGACTAGACCGCAAAACATAGCATATTATGAACATATCACATCCAATACCATCCGCAGTCTAACGGACTAGTAAAGCGAGCCAATGGCATCCTCAAATGCAATTTGTGGGTAGCCGCTTGCCCGGCTCTTAAAGACTGCGACTTGCACCTGAATCGAGCTATCAATTGGGCCAATAACCGACCCTGTCCGGGAGGTAGCCCCATGCAACAGGCCTCTGGATTGGGTGGTCCCCGGGAGCCGGCAGTAGAGCGACCTAGGGGTGTTGACCTGGGAAAGCTCCAGGCAGGAGATCGGGTAGTAGTGAAGCATCCTCAAGGAAATAAATGAGAGGGGACACTATTAGCAAAAGATATGCGTAATACGTGGTGGGTGTTTAAGTCAGATTTATCTAACAGGAGCCAAGCTCCTTGTTGTCTTGTTCCTACAGATTAGATCTGTCCACAAGTGCGGCAAAACCAATTGATATTTCCGCCTGCCACTGAAAACGAGTCCTGCTCTGTCACCGGTCTGAATCGACTGGCACCATGAAGTGGTGGACCGTTATGAATGTACCTTTTTATTAACGCCTTATTGTGTTTCCTGGGTAGGGCATGTCTACTATCCTTCTTATTACCCAGATATTAATGAACTTGCTCCTGAAGACCTCAAAGAGTAGCCTGACCTTAAAGGGCATCCCCCAGAAATGCGTTCAGATGGCCTTCACATGGACCAGCTGCAGTATCCATACTGGAAGAAACCCACCACCCCGGAGCAAGTGAAGTCCTGGTCTCTGTAAGTAAAAGAAACAGGATAGTTGACTGGCAAGGTGGTAAGTGTCAGTGCACCTGTGGCACCAGTTATTATCTTAAGTACATTCCCTCCCTGAAGGCTGGAATGGCGAACTGTGGGAGGGAGGGGATCGTTGTAGTTCTGCTCCTTTGGGAGTTTGTTGTTACACACTTCCTGAGGGGAACCCCGTTGCGCTCAACGTCCCTGAGTTTGTGCCGCCAGTAGTGCATTCTGCATCTGTTCAGCCTCTCGAGCCACTGCGCTTCTGGGAAAATGCCCCCTCCCACCCCTATGGCTCACAGCACTCTCCAGCGATGGTGTGAGGCCCACTAAGTAGGAGAGCGCATTACAGGTTGGAACAAAGTTATTACATGGTTTGTGAATCATACCTACACATGGCGTGGAGGAATGGTACCCACTTTAATACAACCAGAAAGAGGCTGTATCTGCAAGTCTCCACCTCTTATCCTCATTCTCTTATACCAGTGGGGTTCCTAAAGCAAATCAGTGCTATGATTCTGCCCGGACAATGCCGTTTCATTAACCCGATACAGCGTCGTCCCCATGAGCGACAGTGGGAGCTCTTTCGCTCTCTGGGAGGTAAAGCATGGTTACAGGCTCCCCAAAAAGAAAAGATGACATTTATCTGTGAGAAAACAAAGTGTTCACTACTATCTCTGGCCCTTTCCCAATGGGAGGCCCCAACACCGCTCCTGTATAAATCCACACCCTGGTGGAGGTCACAAGTTAAAATCCCAACCTCCTAAATGCTTCGCTGGTCACTGCCCGAATATTGTTCAGACCAGAGCAATGGTATGTTCAAGCTACTTTTCCAAACTGTTCA